TACATTGTACACTCCTTTTTGTGCCCGAAAAGGTGAACATAAAAACATAACAATAACACCAACACATTAGGGTCATATTTTCAAGATTCCCTACTGGAGACGACGAACAACATGTCGCCATGGCAACGCTTCCGCAGAGGAAATTGCCTCTCCCTCGCGTTCCATAAATCAACTCTCAGGTAAAATTTAATATCATTGCGTGAATCAGAATGAGTCTTGCTAGTTGACATTTTGTTTTTAAAAATGGCAACACTCCAATTTTCCGGACGGTATTGTTCGGTTGCGAGATAGAACGTGGGATCAATTTTGTTATATACTGTTAAAGTTATTTCGTTTATTTGATATTTGCTCTCTCTTCATTTCCTCACTTGTTTCGCCAGCGGCGACAGTGTCAAGTAACTAAGGTAACTTGATTTTTCTCATTATTTCTATCCTGTGTACATAGCTCGGATTACTCAGAGTAATATGTTCTGTTATGTAACACCAATTAGTAATCATAAAAGCCTTCACATCATCCCACCTCGGTAAGGGTAAATTTGAGAGTGACTAGTCATTAAAATAATGAACGACCCAACTTATGGTTACTTATTTGCTACCTACTTCTTGTGTCTTTCGTACCTGTTTAATTTATCATACTAAGATTCTTGGGTTACCAGAATCTGTGCTCAGAAAGCGCTACGAAATATTATTAATTCGAACCACTAGTAAAACTCGAAAGTAAACTTGCTCGCTGACCGCTGAACCCAATGCATCTATCGCCAAGGTAAGTTGACTAGGTACAACTATTTGTTCAAATCTTGAAAGTTTTAAACGTTCATAACCGAAGCGTAAAACAAAAGAAGTAACAGCTCGCAGTGTAAGACTCGAGAGTTGAGAGAGCTCGAACGACTCGAAACGTCGAGAACCGTTCCAGTTGGGAGACAGAGTCTGAGTTGAACAAGTCAGCCAACGTTTCTCGCACGATAGTACTTGAGCTGATGTCGACTTATCTGCAGCGTGCCCCTAACTACACACAGAAGAGTCGTTGAAACAACCTCGACTGCTACAACTTCCCAGCGCTGCTAGTATGAGCCGACTAATGAATTTAATTAAACTTTATTATGGCGGCTTAGACTTAGAATTTCAGAGATGTAAGATTATGGCGACAAAATTTTCAAAATTGTTGACCGGAGACCCAGATTTGCATTTTTGTTTATTAATAAAATGTCATAAAATTGCTTTATTGGCAATTCGAGAAATTACGAAAGAAGAAAATTCCCGTACATGTAATATTTAGATTTAAAACATCAAACAGTACAACCAAATAGTGTGTGTGAAATTTGCAGTGAGAGCAAGTTTGAAGTATAATTACTAGCTACACCGAGACTGTTTGTGAACCTATACATCAGTATATGCCTGAAGCAAGATCTACCTCAATCATAGAGCTATGAGTGCACGATGGAACCCCGACACTGACGGTTGATGCAACGCGACGGGCGCGACGCTCGCCGTCCGCCGTCAAGCGCGAATCGTCGAGTGTTTTCATCAGCTTACATTCACTCACTTTAGACTCGCGCACTACAAGTCACAGATTAAAACCTTATTTACAAACTATTATAGGGATTTTCATTTTATATACCCTCGGTGCTTAGGAGTTCGAAGGATTAGTAAGACTAACAAAATTATATAACAAAATATTTTTAAAAAACATTAGGTAATCTTTTAGAGAACCATGCAGAAAGAACATTGGGTTGACTATTAGTTATTAGACTTGTATTTTTCACATTGAAATTTTACATAATATAATCTATAAATACTAAATTACACAATTAATATTGCTTACTTCAATTCGCAAACTTTTTTGTTCTCTTTTTCAATGTTAATGTTAGCTTTACCTACCAAAATATATTATAAACCACCGTTTCCTCGTCTATCTTATTTACAGTCCAAATAAAATAACAATCTTCATAAATTGCTTTGTTAATGTGAGCACTTTATTTTAAATATCATTATTACGGCATTAGGCTTACACCGAAAATGGTAATTGATAAAAAATGGGAGCGGCCACCACCGGCGGACATTTCCGCCATAATAGATTCTGGGTCGGAACTTACGAGGTACTTTTAAATTTACATACGTCGGATATTGCACGGACGATGTCCGAGTCCTGTCGCAATCAAACATGCTGACGTTGAAATTTTAAAGTCCAATATTTACATATTTTAACTGTTACTGCAGTCCATATTAAAGTTTATTTACTGATCGTTAATTCAACTTAAGCTCGATAATCCAAGACACTTATATCGGTACACAAAGCAGCAATTCGCATGTAATTGGGACTGTGTATAATTGGATCAAGTCTATAATCCTAGAGTGTGCCCTTCAACCATACTCACTTACTGCCACATAGACGTAATTTATAGCCATCCATTACACATTAACCACAGGATCTTAAAATGAGGCGGCTCATAAAACAAGGGGAACGCCAGCTCTCCCAATGCCTTTATTTCGTTGATTCGGCAAATGACATTGATAAATGAACCACTCTATCAATCAAAGCAAATTGTACTGTAAGCTTTTAACAGGTAGCTTCAAATGAATGGATGTGTCATAGACTATGATTAAAGTGATGTCCTTTTCTTTTTGTACAATGTTTACAGGAAACAATATCTTTGTATAAGTGTCATTTTCAATTATTGCACACATAGAGCTGTATGTTGAATACTGTTTAAAGAATACTTTTTTTAATTTGAATATTTTTAAAAAATGAACCTTTTAAATTAATTTTTTATTTGGTAAAGGACCTCTTTAATTTTATTAAGTAATATTGTATGCATTTGATGAGTAAAATTACAAATTTAAAAATAGAACCACGTTGATTTGCACTTGTTTAGATAACCACGTACGCTTACTTACTAATCTTTAAAAGAGCTATTCAGCACGCGTTGCGGTTTGTCAGGTCTCGTCGCATTTCAATGGTGTGTTTACAGCTTGTAATGTCCATGTAAAACAAAATGAGCTTCGCTTCCAGTACGCTATAAACAGCTGGACAAGCAATCACAAACAATCACAATAACTCCTGACAAATAGATATATTTTGCTACGAAAAAAAAATAAAGTGGACATTTAAGATCCTTTTATTTAAAAAGCGGTTTATTAATCTAGATTATTAAAGTTCGCAGTACCCATTACAGTGAAGTTTTAAATTTAGAATAACCTTATTTTTTTCCGACAAAAAAGGTTTTGGATTTTTAAATTTGTCATTTGTACCTGGCAATCTAATATTATTTCCATTTGAATTTAATAGGTACATAATTAGTAAATATTGGAATTGACATTTAATGTGTGCAAACATTTCTTCTATAAAAAAAAAAAGAATTTAGTCAAACGTTTTGTTTCTTGCGTTTTATTTTGTGAAGTTTTCGAAACCTATCGAATGTTCAATAAATTGCTTGATTGGGCCGTAAACGTATCACCGAGTGTGGTTCAGCAAATTAAATCCCTTCCTTTCAATTGAGTTTTAAACGTTTTGAAACGTGTGTGATTGGAAAGCTTAATGCGTGTCTATTTGTACTGCTAGATTACGTTTCTGGACGTACGATATATACGCGCAACTGCCGAGCAAAAAGTACTAGGTTTTTGTTTTTTTTTTTCAATCAATCAAAATCATGAAGTGACTTCTCCGGCCCTGGGGTGGGACTAACGTGAGGGAGTATCAGATTTTTACTGACTAAAATCTACACCGTTCCTAAAAAAGTATCGGCTTAATTTGTTTTTTATTATTTAATAGATCGGCAAACGAGCAAACGGATTACCTGATGGTAAGTAATCAGCGCCGCCCATGGACACCCACACAACGGAGGAGGACAACGGAGGAGTCACGAGTGCGTCGCCGACCTTTTAGGGGTAAGGGATTGAGGAGGGATTGGGGGTGGGGAAAGATTGGGCCTCCGGTAACCTCACTCACACGGCGAAACACAACGCTGTGGTTGTTTCACGCCGGTTTTCTGTGAACCCTTGGTATCACTCCGGTCGAGCCCACCCATTCGTGCCGAAGCATGGCTCTCCCACACTTAATTAACGATAATCTTTGTGTGATCCACAATTTTTTGTTCCGGGTCTAGGTGTGATATGTTTATGAAATTGTATACAAACATACAATTTCGCAAACGCTCCCACGACACGTTACGTGTAGCATTGTTTTATAAAAAAAACTGGTACGTAAGTCTTTTTTTTAATTCCTCGTGTTATTATAATTTAATAAATCTCGAATTGTAACTGTCATAATGATTAATAAGTGACTTATCCGGTGAAATTGGGTGTACATTAAAAATATGCATTTGCCGTCCTCTTCGAGGAAAACAGTATGAAGTTGTAGGTCTAAAGCTCTTAAAATTAAAAACTATATAATTCTTAACCCCAAAACGTGCATTTCCGACTAACGAGACAATCTTAATAAATAGGGAATAATAATAAAAATCACGTGATCCACAAATTCATCTGCGTAATATCAGCGTAATTTCAACGTCTGCTGAGCTCATATCGTTTCATGCCACGGTTTACGGCTGCGTGACTCATATTCCGCCATCATAATCCCACTCCAAATTTGAAACTCGAAATCATAGGAAACTTCTATATTGCTACAGTTTTAATTTGGTTATATTTTTTTTATCTCGATAAATGCTTAAAAACTTTTTATATCAGTCTCAAATAGGTGTTTGCAATTGTCAATAAAGTTTATCACTTCGCATTTAAAAAAATCCGACCTAGTTTTAGAAAGAAACTGTCCAAATATTATATTTTATTTCCATAAAAACGCTTCCGTTACTGCTCTTACATTATTACTTATTTATTGCAGCAAGCGTACCTACGATATTTTATAAGCCCTACAAAAGATGATCAGCAAAATGTTTTAAAATACATTCTGATACAGTTGCTCTCGTCATAAAATTGCTTATCGTGCCATAACTGTTTCAGTAATATTCCAAAACGGCTTTCCCTAAGTAATTGCGTTAGCAAACATGGAGATGCTGGTAGCAATTTACAACGGTAATAAGTAGGTACAAACTAACGAACTGTAATTACAAAGGGTACACACAGACATTCTTAGAACTGGCGCCCGCGCCTGTCTTAACCTTAAAATTAGAAATCCGATTCGTCGTTTGAACAAATTTAATTTTCCAAGCTTTTCGGGACAGCCCTGACGTTAATAAAATTTGCGCCGATCGAAGGGGAAACTTCTTAATTAGCGAGGGCCTATAACGAAGGGCCTTCCACGTGACACCCCACCGATTCAACCGCTAGACATTTTCAATTCGTAACTAATTCGCAAAGCGATAAACTCGTCTTTAGATACCAACTTGGTGGAAACTAAGCAATATTCAGTATGTATTTCACGCTTAGAATTTGGGGTAAATAAAATTGGGCCGAGACGAATCCACAGGAATCGGAACAGAGAGAATTTGAATTAGATAGTCTATTGATTAAGACTACCTAATACTTTTATGGACTTCCCCTCGTGCGACACGTTCGTGCTGACTCGAATTCTCCGCAATAATACATCAAATCTCGGCAAATGTTACGACTATTCACGGGAAATGAAAAGATATAATTTCCTGTACGTCTGTACTGGCCTCGTTCGTCGAATTCAGCATTTCCGTGGAGAGCGCGGGGACCGGCCGCGGCGCACACCACACTAATCGAATGACCGACACGTTCCGTCCCCACTCAAGCAAATTACAGCTGTAACTGCTGGAATAGGTGTCCGACACAGATTGTCGAGTTACTGCTGACCTACAATGTTCTAAAGAAATCTTTTATAAAATTGACTTTTGTTCTAAGTTCGTATTCCCCTTACGAATGCGAACACAGCGCTTTCTTTACGCTCTTTCTTAAAATTATTTAGCTTTTGTATTCAAAGGTTCTGGAACATAACGCAAAACTTGAAGGGAATGTTATCAAAGGAAACGGTTTGGTTTTGTATAAAAAGAATATTTCGTTTGTTTCACTTTCGTTTTGTTTGGGTAAGTCAATATTATATTGTATTCGTAAAACAATAAAGTTTAAAAATACTTCTTTGTTTGTGTTTCAGTAACAATAATTAATTACATTACAAAAGTAAAAAAAATCTTTAATTTGCCATTTTTATTTCTTTGAATGCTGTTGACGAAAGATAAAATAAATGAAAAATCCATTTGATTTAACGACTTCGCAGAAAGCTGCATAAAACATTGTAACAGGGTAATTTATTGTGAGTTCGCATTAAATATTTAAAGTAGCAGTTAATATCGAACGTTTTGAAAGTCAACGAACACGAATTTTGAATTTGGAACAGTATAAATGATTTATTACCCGCAAGCGCTTTTCATATTTGAAGAGTTGGTTCGGTAAAAAGTTCAATATTAAAAAACTTCGGTGGCCTGTCGATGTCATTATTTCTGCAAGTTGCCCCCGGGTTTACGAAATACTTTTTCTGAAAATTTTCTCATAAATTCAACCGTTCCTTTATTTTTCATCTCCGAACATTACGCGAGTTTTATTTTTGACCCTGATTACGTTTGTGCGACTTTAGCCTATGTAGTTTCAAAACTTTTTATCTGAGAATTTTACCTGGCCATAGACATAAAACATTGCTGGCTGTGCGGAATAATAAACGTTATTTGAATAAAATAAAAAGTATTTATTTAGAATACAGAAATTATTCTTCTACACTAAACTTCTTACATTACAAATTATAGCAAATTAGCTACTCATTAGTAAGAATAACTTAGGACTACCTACCTACGTATCATAGATCCTGGTACCCCAAAGTCAAAAGTAACACTTGTTACCACTAAACTAACGAAGCAACCAAGAATCGACCTTATTGTTATTTCTTAGGATCCAATTTTTCATAATTTTCGTAGAACTTTATTAGAAGAATCATTTTACAAAAGACGTTATACTAGGAAACCATTATAACTTCGACATAAAAATACAATATTTTCTTCCGAGTATTTTGTCATCCATATTAATTTGAGACTGCCACGTTTATCGAAAGGTCATAGAACCGACTACAGTGCAAGAATTACCTCCAATTTTTCTCCATTTGAGGCCTAGAAGGATACTTGGATCCTCCACGAGTAGAAGCAAAAATTACTATTAAGTATTAATTATTTGTACATTTATTTATTAATATGCAAGCCTTTTAAAAGCCTTATCCTTTATCGCTTAAACAATCGAATTTCTTCATTACAATCTTAACTTTATTACGTTACAATAAAATTCACGATTGCCAGCACACGAAGCTGTAACTTAACAGCTTAACCGACTTTTTCAAAAGATTGTCATCGATAGTTGAAAATCTATTAAATCTGTTGGTGGTTATCCATGGGCGGCGTTGATAACTTACCATTAAGCGATGGGTCCAATCGTTTGGCCTTTAAAAAAGGTGGTATAATATAATTTTGTTACCGAATCCCTTGATATTTTAGTACCGGAAAGCAAAAGTTGCCCTTTTAAGGGGTAATATGAGCACCCTCCCCTCTTCTCTCTACTCCCCGGAGGCTTTTCGTAACGTTACAAAACACCTTTGTAATTATAATTGCCTGTTTTTGCCGTATTTACTTTCAAATGCTCGGACTGTGGACCTTTTGTTTGTGGTTTAATTTATTCATTTATGGTTTAATTAGGCGTGGGGAGGTTAGGGTGGAAATTGATCTGACTGTCGAATAAAAGAGGTCTCAACTCAATTATCACATCGGTTGAAATAAAATAAACCATTTTTTTATTCAAATCAATAATTGAATATAATAAAAAATACCTATTATACCTAGTGCTTAGTATTGCTACAAAACACAAGATCTTAGGTATAAAAGCTAATCAAGACTATTACTCAATTATCTACACTAATTACCATAAACCAGAAACTATCCGTGTCTCGTTATAGACTACAATATGAAATATTATAGACTTTTTATAATAGACTACAATAGAATAGATAACGTATTCCAAAATCAAATTTGTTTTCCACGAAAAACTAATGACACACCATGTAGATAAGTTAAAAGCCTGAGTCCTTATTTCATGATGACTAAGTTTTCGCCCGTGGCATCGCCCACATGTTATTTAGAAGATTTCTTTTGAGTAAATAAATGGAAAAATCGCGAAGGGAAAAAAATATTATACCTGAAAAGTATAGATACTTTCTAATGGTAACACTTGTATTAAACATATTTATCGCTAATGGCGGCAATCGAGCAGAGCAATCACCTGATCGTAATGCATTTTAAAGGGTTTGCGATTTAAGAAATGGCGGATTGGTGGATTTGGAGATAAGGGATGGAGAGGGCAGGATTACGCCTAACCTTACAATCACGGCAAAACATAACGCAAAGGTTTTCTATAAGGCATCACGGTTAAGAAGAAGAACGGTTCCCTCAAATTTTCCAAATCAAAACATAATTCCTGTCTACAATTTAAGGAAAAGAGTGATTTTATTGTCTTACGTTATCGTGTTACCCTATCGTCGAGTGTCCCAAACAATTCCTTGGCGACAGATCACGAGAAAAACAAAGTTATTTAGCCAGACAGGTAATCAGATTCGACTGTCCTACGAAATAAAGGGATTTTATCTCTTCCTTGACAGTTGTTTATTTATCACATAGTTATTTAGTTACGTTAAGTATTCCACTAATTTATTTTGTTTGTTGTTGATACCTGATCCGGCAGATTTGGTTGTGATCTGAACCAATAAAATGTTTATAACGATAAGGCCGCTTCTCTTATTTGGTGTTTCTATTTTTTTGTTTTATTAATGATAAAAAAGTTATTCTTGTAACTAATTACAACTTTACTAGTTTCTTTAAAATTACTATTATTAATGTACATTATGACTGTATGTATGTATGTATGTGATTAAAAAATCATTATTTGAATAAACAGATTATTCGCTTTGCCTTTTTATCAAATAAATTAAGAGTATCGTATCGTAGGTTCGATTCTTTGTGTAATCCGCAAATTATTATTTCGTAAACTGAATGACTTGTGTGGCTGAATTTTTGTTTGTAAGTAAACACAAATACGACGCACGAGAAAAATTCTTTCCACTTTTCAAAATTCATATCACATCACGCATCATCAGCCTATAAGTGTCCACTGCTGAGAAGGCTTTGACTTACACTAAGAAGCCCTCATGCATGAGCAGCGATCGCCTTCCTCCAGGCCACGATTACATCTACATTTTCATTCATATAATCAAAACATAACAATATAATACATAGTCACGTCCCTAATATAGGATAACGAAATTGATCCACTTTGCGGCATAGATGCATACTTTATGCTTGCACATACTGCACTCTAGCTAGTCGTACGAGTACGGAAATTGAGAGATGTTCCATGGTAGTATTAGATAAGTAATATTTCAATATCCGTCGGCCATATTGGTTCCAGTTACCTAACGTAAGTCCTATTTAGGTAGTTTCATCTTTAAAATATCGTTCGGTATAGGAATTATAATACGTAAGTATATTATTACTATCTACACCTATAAAGGAATAATCATCTGCGACCACGTCTTCTTTAGTATTGATCGTAATCAGATATTATAATTACCGACAATAAACAAAAAAATATGGATTTATTTATTTATTTATTTATTTATTTATTTAAGGGCAACCAACAAAGCATACACTAAAATACATGATAGGTTTTTAACATATTTTAACATTGTATAGTGTAGCCTTAATTAAAGGCTGCCACGACATGCATTTAACAAATAACAGGATATTACAACAAAAAGTTCACTTATCAAAAAAAAAAGACATCTTAATAACACTAGTTTTCAAATCACAATTGTTAATTATTAATTAAAAAAACTGTAATTTTTTTTAATACCATGAAATATATTAAAAAACAATAAAAAAAAAACAATATTTTATACAGTGAAATATATTGTGGAGCTCAACTCTGTGAGAATGTCCTACGTAAGACAGTTTTCACCTTAAAGAGAGAGTAGGACATGTCAATATCTACATCAAGTGAGGATGACATGACATGACATGAGGATGGATTAATTTAGATGGCAAGATAAAACCTTTTCTTATGAAATAGGTCGGCAAACGAGCAGACTTATTACCTGATGGTAATCATCAGCGCCGCCCAATTAAACCCGCAACACCAAAGGAGTTACGAGTACGTTTCCGGCCTTCTAGGGATAAAGGTTTCAGATATTAAGGGATTGGGAAGGAATGGTGGGAGGGAGAGAGATTCACAGGCGAAACACAACGCTGTGGTTGTTTTACGCCGGTTTTCTATGAGGCCGTGGTATTCCTCTGGTGGAGCCAATCCATTCAGGCCAAAGCATGACTCTCCTACACTAACACACGATTTTAATTGTATCAACACAACACATTGTACACCACCTACTTTTAGACTACATAAAGATTAAGATTAATCTTAATCTTGATGATGAGATGAAGGTGGATGTGGAGGTGGAGGTGAAGATGAAGGTAAAGGTGAAGGTGAAGGTGAAGGTGAAGGTGAAGGTGAAGGTGAAGGTGAAGGTGAAGGTGAAGGTGATGGTGAAAGTGAAGGTGAAGTCGAAGGTGAAGGTGAAGGTGAAGGTGAAGGTGAAGGTGAAGGTGAAGGTGAAGGTGAAGGTGAAGGTGAAGGTGAAGGTGAAGGTGAAGGTGAAGGTGAAGGTGAAGGTGAAGGTGAAGGTGAAGGTGAAGGTGAAGGTGAAGGTGAAGGTGAAGGTGAAGGTGAAGGTGAAGGTGAAGGTGAAGGTGAAGGTGATGGTGAAGGTGAAGGTGTAGGGGAAGGTGAAGTCGAAGGTGAAGTCGAAGGTGAAGGTGAAGGTGATGGTGAAGGTGAAGGTGAAGGTGAAGGTGAAGGTGAAGGTGAAGGTGAAGGTGAAGGTGATGGTGAAGGTGAAGGTGTAGGGGAAGGTGAAGTCGAAGGTGAAGTCGAAGGTGAAGGTGAAGGTGATGGTGAAGGTGAAGGTGTAGGGGAAGGTGAAGGTGAAGTCGAAGGTGAAGGTGAAGGTGATGGTGAAGGTGAAGGTGAAGGTGATGGTGAAGGTGAAGGTGAAGGTGAAGGTGAAGGTGAAGGTGAAGGTGAAGGTGAAGGTGAAGGTGAAGGTGAAGGTGAAGGTGAAGGTGAAGGTGAAGGTGAAGGTGAAGGTGAAGGTGAAGGTGAAGGTGAAGGTGAAGGTGAAGGTGAAGGTGAAGGTGAAGTCGAAGGTGAAGTTGAAGGTGAAGGTGATGGTGAAGGTGAAGGTGTAGGGGAAGGTGAAGGTGAAGTCGAAGGTGAAGGTGAAGGTGAAGGTGATGGCGAAGGTGAAGGTGATGGTGAAGGTGAAGGTGAAGGCGAAGTCGAAGCCGAAGTCAAAGTCGAAGTCGAAGTCGAGGTCAAAGTCGAAGGTGAAGGTGAAGGTGAAGGTGAAGGTGAAGGTGATGGTAAAGGTGAAGGTGAAGGTGAAGGTGAAGGGAAAGGTGAAGGTGAAGTCGAAGGGAAAGGTGAAGGTGAAGTCGAAGGTGAAGGGGAAGGTGAAGTCGAAGGTGAAGGGGAAGGTGAAGTCGAAGGTGAAGTTGAAGGTGAAGGTACTAAATGTATTAAATTCACAACACCAAATGTTAAACAGGTTAAAACCAGTGTGCTTGTCAAGGGCAAGGAGTTGAGTCCTGTAGATACAACTGTCTTTTTAGGTATAATCCTGGACGCTAAGCTCCAGTGGGGCCCACATATAGATGGCTTGTCGAAGAAGCTCAGTTCTGCAGCATATGCCGTTAAAAAAATTAGAAATTTAACAGATGTAGATACAGCGCGGTTAGTTTATTTTAGTTATTTCCACAGCATCATGTCATACGGTATTTTGTTGTGGGGGAATGCTGCTGACATTCAGTCTATTTTCGTTCTGCAGAAAAGGGCTATTCGATCAATCTATAATCTTAGTCCGAGGCATTCGCTCAGAGAATTATTTAAGGAAACTGAGATAATGACGGTTGCCTCACAATATATTTATGAAAATGTAATTCACGCTCATAAAAACAAAAGCTTATTTAAGAAGCATAGTGATATACATAATATTAACACGAGGGGGAAAAACAAATATGTTGTCCCCGCCTCCAGGCTTCAGAAAATAAGTAGTTCGTTTAGATGTCAATGTATACGCTTTTACAATAAAATTCCTAGGGATATTCAAAATTTGAGCCTCAATAATTTTAAAAGTGTAATAAAGGCTAAACTTTACTGTAAAGCATTTTATAAAATAAAAGACTACTTAGAAGATAGTCAGGCTTGGGAATGAGCCGCTGTAACTTCTGCACAGGTCATGTTGACATGTTTGTAACATAAGTTACGCTTTTTATATACAATTTGACATTACGTTTATTTTTTTAACAATGACATTACCTATTGTGACATTTTTATTTTTATTTGACATTTTTTATTTTATTTATTATTTTTATAATTATTTATTGACATTATTATTATTTTCTATTATTGTTAGTGTAAGGACCGTGTGAGACTTGCCGCGCTTTTGGACTACCAGTTATCTGCGTTCTGACAGTTTGAGTACTTGCGTGACCCAACCAAATGTTCTTTAGATCGGTATTGTTCGTCGGACAACTCAACAGCACTTGCTATGCTGGTTGCAAACTGACACTTGCGTGCCTGTCTTCAGAACGGGTCCACTTAAACTGGTGTGGTTCTTTCATCAAAAGACCACTACAGAATGAACTTGCACGGTTCTCTCACATTATGTTATTTTTACATTGTCTGGACTTGAAAAGAGACTGACCTCTGAGTTTGTTTCGGCATTTCTTCTCAGAGTAGTCAGATAGGAAATGCCGGCTTCATCTAGTTTTTTACATATAAATTGACGTGTAAAAGTGCCGTTTTATGGCCTATTTGCAAAAATAAATTCATTGTTTCATTGTTTCATTGTTTCATTGTTTCAAGGTGAAGGTGAAGGTGAAGGTGAAGGTGAAGGTGATGGTAAAGGTGATGGTAAAGGTGAAGGTGAAGGTGAAGGTGAAGGTGAAGGTGAAGGTGAAGGTGAAGGTGAAGGGGAAGGTGAAGGTGAAGGGGAAGGTGAAGTCGAAGTCGAAGTCGAAGTCGAAGTCGAAGTCGAAGTCGAAGTCGAAGTCGAAGTCGAAGTCGAAGTCGAAGTCGAAGTCGAAGTCGAAGTCGAAGTCGAAGTCGAAGTCGAAGTCGAAGTCGAAGTCGAAGTCGAAGTCGAAGTCGAAGTCGAAGTCGAAGTCGAAGTCGAAGTCGAAGTCGAAGGTGAAGGTGAAGGTGAAGGTGAAGGTGAAGGTGAAGGTGAAGGTGAAGGTGAAGGTGAAGTCGAAGGGTAAGGTGAAGGTGAAGGTGAAGGTGAAGGTGAAGGTGAAGGTGAAGGTGAAGGTGAAAGTGAAGGTGAAGGTGAAGGGGAAGGTGAAGGTGAAGTTGAAGGTGAAGGTGATGGTGAAGGTGAAGGGAAAGGTGAAGGTGAAGTCGGAGGGTAAGGTGAAGGTGAGGTCGAAGGTGATGCTGAAGGTGAAGGCGAAGGCGAAGTCGAAGTCGAAGTCGAAGTCGAAGTCGAAATCGAAGGTGAAGGTGAAGGTGATGGTGAAAGTGAGGGTGAAGGTGAAGGTGAAGGTGAAGGTGAAGGTGAAGGTGAAGGTGAAGGTGAAGGTGAAGGTGAAGGTGAATGTGAAGGTGATGGTGAAGGTGAAGTCGAAGGTGAAGTCGAAGGTGAAGGTGAAGATGAAGTCGATGGTGAAGGTGAAGGTGAAGGTGAAGGTGAAGGTGAAGGTGAAGGTGAAGGTGAAGGTGAAGGTGAAGGTGAAGGGAAGGTGAAGGTGAAGTTGAAGGTAAAGGTGATGGTGAAGGTGAAGGGAAAGGTGAAGGTGAAGTCGAAGGGAAAGGTGAAGGTGAAGTCGAAGGTGATGGTGAAGGTGATGGTGAAGGTGAAGGCGAAGTCGAAGTCGAAGTCGAAGTCGAAGTCGAAGTCGAAGTCGGGCCCGCCTGAGCATCTGGTGGGCAAATACCCGTCGGGGGGATGCGACTAAAGCTTCGGCGATATTCGCTCCTCCGACACATGGGTAATTGGAGAAATACCGAGTTGGTTTTTAGTCAGTAAGAGTCTGACAGTACCCTCGCTCCCCCCATGGGTCTCCATGAGGATTTTCCAATCCGATAACAAAAAAAAAATAGGAATTTTGTATTAATATAATAATTTTAATACAATTAATTTTATTAAAGAATTACAACAAGTAATAAACTTCACTTTCATTGTAAAAAATTACTGAGCATATTATTATTTTTCTCATAACATCTTATATATTAAATTGAGGCCCAGTCTATGATTTATTTTTAAAAACCACTTAAGAAAATAATATTCCTTTTTTCAGAGCGAACTTATTAGATATTTATTAAACCTGTCCATTATTATGATAAAATAGCCCAGACTAGACTAGACTAGACGTTATCAAAATTAAATTATTTTTTACATTAACAAAATGAGTATTATAATATGACAGACAAATATTTTATTTCTCTTTTATGTCTATTATTAGTAAAGAACGTATTGTTATTAATGAAATTGCTGAAATGATTTTTGTTCTGACAAACTTAAAATGAATTTATGTGAACTTTATAAAATTACATCTTCACGGCACAGATAATTTGCTTATAAAGTAATAATTCTGATTTAATTAATGAATACACTACTGTGACGGTTGATTTAGATAATTGTATTGTTGATCTGTATTAAATAAAAGGGATGTGTATAAACCTTAGGGTGATTGAAACTGTATTACTAACTGTATTATATTTACTGATAATAGGATACTGCAATATGTAAATAAAAGGTATTATAATCTAACCTCAGCCAGAACAAAATTTGACTTGAATTTTATCTTAAAGCCAAAGCCATAATCAAAATTTTACAATTGACCATTGTTAGTACCTTTTTACAATTGAAAATCGTAACCTTACATATGTATGTATCAGCCGGGGTTGCGGGGTAAGCGCAATGAGGCACCGCGACCTCGGCCCAGAGCAGGAGAAGGAACAGGGGGGTTTTTAGTCAGTAAGAGTCTGACACTCCGTCCCGCCCGGCCCTGGGCGGGAGAAGTCATTTGATGATTTTCCCCTCATAAAAAAACAAAACATACGTATGTATATCTAAGCAACTTTAACTACGTATCACTGGAAAACTGTTAACAGTAAATAAACAGGATGGAATACAAAATCGGAATTCAATCAAGAGGTCACAGTTGCAGTTATAAAAGACTTTAATCTAATTCTATTTCCGATACTCAATTTCGTTACTGACTGAATCGACTCCAGGGCACCAGAGGACTGAAGTGCTTTCACGCCAGCTAAGCTATTAATTTCACTTTCACACTAACGGCCACCGTCCATTGTCATGCAGCTTTATAGTTGTGTAGCGACATCTAGCGCACTACATAAACAACAGCACCAATCACGTGCAAGAGTCTACATCGCGCTATAAGAGTTTTCCACACAATTAGCACCTATACAGATATCCCGACAACAACCGTCGGGCAGTAGCCCACCAGGCACGAACACCTCGCCTGGTCGGAGGATCCTCCCTTTTCAATGGAGGATGAGGAACTTTCCACCCTGTTCCTCATACCTCTAAATTGGTGACCCCGAGCATGAACATCAACGCAGCCTTCGTGCAACTACGTCGAGCTTTCAAGCAGCGAGTCTACAGTCAGCCAGCTTCCATGGCTACAACGGGTTCCCTGACCACCAGCATGCAGCCAACGCGCATTCCTGGTCAGCACCTACAGCCTCATCAGCATCTAATCAACTCGCTCAAGACCAGGAAAACGATTCAGAACTACAGAGATTCATGTCACATCCAAACCTACAGTTCACCAGTATTTCACTACCCGGAGGTCAACGTCCGCTTATCTGTGAAACATCGACAGGCAACATTCGTCCGTATTTACCCGCGAAATATCGTTTTGTCGCATTCAAAGCGCAACACGATTTGAGTCACCCAGGCGTGCGCACTACGAGAAAAATAATATCGTCGAAGTTCTTCTGGCCGAACATGAATAAAGAAGTCGGAACATGGGCAAGAACATGCATCGGTTGTCAGCGAGCAAAGGTACAGCGGCACACTATCAGCCCGCTCGGCGAGTTCGGAAAATCCCAGCGTTTCGAACATATTCACGTCGACATCGTGGGACCACTGCCGCCATCAAATGACTACCGATACCTAGTTACGATGATTGACCGCTGCACAAAATGGCCTGAAGCTATACCAGTACGCGATATCACCGCCGACACGATCGCCAAGGCTATTTACGACGGTTGGATATCGAGATTTGGTTGCCCGCTACGACTTACGACCGACCAGGGAAGACAGTTCGAGTCGTCACTGTGACAAGGCGCTGATGAAGAAATGTGGAATAAACAGAATACGCACAACTGCTTTCCACCCTGTTCCTCATACCTCCAAATTGGTGACCCCGAGCATGAACATCAACGCAGCCTTCGTGCAACTACGTCGAGCTTTCAAGCAGCGAGTCTACAGTCAGCCAGCTTCCATGGCTACAACGGGTTCCCTGACCACCAGCATGCAGCCAACGCGCATTCCTGGTCAGCACCTACAGCCTCATCAGCATCTTCGGCACAGCATACTGCACCGGCCGGTCAGCAAGCAGAGACGTACTCCCTCTCCTGGTCGACGCAGCAGCTAGCCACTCTTCAGCACTGCACCACCCGACTCACTGGGGCATCTTCGCAGACAGATTTGACGCACTGAAACCATCAACTGGCTCGACAAGCATCTCACAGACGACTCAACCAGCTGACGACCTCCGGTCTCGGAGGGGAGTGATGTAGCGACATCTAGCGCACTACATAAACAACAGCACCAATCACGTGCAAGAGTCTACATCGCGCTATAAGAGTTTTCCACACAATTAGCACCTATACAGATATCCCGACAACAACCGTCGGGCAGTAGCCCACCAGGCACGAACACCTCGCCTGGTCGGAGGATCCTCCCTTTTCAATGGAGGATGAGGAACTTTCCACCCTGTTCCTCATACCTCTAAAGTTGAATCATGGTAACCTTTTTATTAAGAGAGAAAGAAGTTTTGTTTTCTACATATTAATCCTTAGTATAAGCAACATAAGCCGAGGAATTGGTTTAAAACGGGTTTCTGTCGATAGGTAATCAAAGTGAAAAATATTTTTGTGAATCATAAATAGGAGGAAGATAATATATACTCACTGGAGAACTTGTTTCTAGGCATTGGCAATGAGCAGATTTCGGCCAGTAAAGTACCTAATATCACGGTTTTACAGATAATTAATCAGCTTAAAAAAGCGCATCCGTTCTCTTTTACAGTACCTATATCGTATAAATATGAAATAAGTCATCGTAGTTACGTTAGGAATCTTTAAATGAAAAATAATAAATACTAACTTGCTATAAAGACATGCTTGCACATACTGCACTCTAGCTAGTCGTACGAGTACGGAAATTGAGAGATGTTCCATGGTAGTATTAGATAAGTAATATTTCAATATCCGTCGGCCATATTGGTTCCAGTTACCTAACGTAAGTCCTATTTAGGTAGTTTCATGTTTAAAATATAGTTCGGTTGTATAGGAATTATGTAAGTATATTATTACTATCTACACCTATAAAGGAATATTCATCTGCGAACGCCCGAACACGTCTACTTTAGTATTGATCATAATCAGATATTATAATTACCGACAAAGAACAAAAAAAATATGCATTAATTTAGATGGCAAGATAAAACCTTTTCTTATGAAATAGGTCGGCAAACGAGCAGACTTATTACCTGATGGTATGGTCATCAACGCCGCCCAAGGAAACCCGCAACACCAAAGGAGTTGCGAGTATGTTTTAGGGATAAGGGTTTCAGATATTAAGGGATTGGGAAGGAATGGTGGGAGGGGGAGAGATTCACAGGCGAAACACAACGCTGTGGTTGTTTTACGCCGGTTTTCTATGAGGCCGTGATATTCCTCTGGTGGAGCCAATCCATTCAGGCCAAAGCATGACTCTCCTACACTAACACACGATTTTAATTGTATCTTTAAACTAACACCACCTACTTTTAGACTACATAAAGATTAAGATTAATCTTAATCTTGATGATGAGATGAAGGTGGATGTGGAGGTGGAGGTGAAGATGAAGGTAAAGGTGAAGGTGAAGGTGAAGGTGAAGGTGATGGTGAAAGTGAAGGTGAAGGTCAAGGTGAAGGTGAAGGTGAAGGTGATGGTGAAGGTGATGGTGAAGGTGAAGGTGAAGATGAATGTGAAGGTGTTGGTGAAGTCGAAGGTGAAGGTGAAGTTTCAGGTGAAGGGGAAGGTGAAGTCGACGGTGAAGGTGCAGGTGAAGGTGAAGGTGAAGGTGAAGGTGAAGGTGAAGGTGAAGGTGATGGTGAAGGTGAAGGTGAAGGTGAAGTCGAAGTCGAAGTCGAAGTCGAAGTCGAAGTCGAAGTCGAAGTCGAAGTCGAAGTCGAAGTCGAAGTCGAAGTCGAAGTCGAAGTCGAAGTCGAAGTCGAAGTCGAAGTCGAAGTCGAAGTCGAAGTCGAAGTCGAAGTCGAAGTCGAAGTCGAAGTCGAAGTCGAAGTCGAAGTCGAAGTCGAAGTCGAAGTCGAAGTCGAAGTCGAAGTCGAAGTCGAAGTCGAAGTCGAAGTCGAAGTCGAAGTCGAAGTCGAAGTCGAAGTCGAAGTCGAAGTCGAAGTCGAAGTCGAAGTCGAAGTCGAAGTCGAAGTCGAAGTCGAAGTCGAAGTCGAAGATGAAAGTGAGGGTGAAGGTGAAGGCGAAGGTGATGGTGAAGTTGAAGGTGAAGATAAATGTGAAGGTGATGCTGAAGTCGAAGGTGAAGGTGAAGGTTAAGGTGAAGGGGAAGGTAAAGGTGATGGTGAAGGTGATAGTGAAAGTGAAGGTGAAGTCGAAGGTGAAGTCGAAGGTGAACGCAAAGTCGAAGTCGAAGTCGAAGGTGAAGGTGAAGGTGATGGTGAAAGTGAGGGTGAAGGTGAAGGTGAAGGTGATGGTGAAGTCGAAGGTGAAGGTGAAGGTTAAGGTGAAGGGGAAGGTGATGGTGAAGGTGAAGGTGAAGGTGAAGGTGAAGGTGAAGGTGAAGGTGAAGGTGAAGGTGAAGGTGAAGGTGAAGGTGAAGGTGAAGGTGAAGGTGAAGGTGAAGGTGAAGGTGAAGGTGAAGGTGAAGGTGAAGGTGAAGGTGAAGGTGAAGGTGAAGGTGAAGGTGAAGGTGAAGGTGAAGGTGAAGGTGAACTACCAACAACAACTACCCAGCTCAATTCGCTTAGACGATCTAAATCATCATTTCTCTACAGTACCTACCATAGATCATCTAGTGAACCACGACACTGTAAGGTTCATCTCTGTCTTATGATTGCCACCAACATTGCTACTCCTTTCCGCTTCATTCCAGTTGGTTCGGCAGATTGGTAGTTGTTTAACGACTAAGTTTAAACTTATATATTATGATTCCCTATATTTTTAGACATAATCAATAAAAAAAATTAAATAATGTATAAAGTGGCCTTAATCATTACCATTACCTAAATAAAAGTATAAGGCACTTAGTACAGAATTTTGTATTAATATGCTGCGGGAAATCTCTCGCTTCCAGCTGTAGTGTCTACTATGGTCGGGAGCGAGTCGGGGTGGAGTGCCGTTGCTACCTTTTGCGAGGCCGTGATGCTCGCAAAGGAGGCGGCAGAAATGGAGAGAGAGGCTGGAGGCTGCCTCCTCTGTCCCCTCCCGCAGCAGACGCACTAGACGTCGTAGGGTGGCCGACCTGCGGCCACCGTAGGGCGCAGCCTGCGGACCACAGACTCGGGGGGTCTCTTCGTCAGCAGCGCCGTGTTCCACGCGCGACAGGGGGTGACGGGGCCCGCCTGAGCATCTGGCGGGCCAATACCCGTCGGGGGGATGCGACTAATGCTTCGGCGATACCCGCTCCTCCGACACATGGGTAATTGGAGAAACACCGAGTTGGTTTTTAGTCAGTAAGAGTCTGACGGTACCCTCGCTCTCCCCCATGAGGATTTTCCAATCCGATAACAAAAAAAAAATAGGAATTTTGTATTAATTTTGTATAGGAATTTTGTATTTTAATACAATTAATTTTATTAAAGAATTACAACAAGTAATAAACTTCACTTTCATTGTAAAAAATTATTGTAGCATATTATTATTTTTCTCATAACATCTTATATATTAAATTGAGGCCCAGTCATGATTTATTTTTAAAAACCACTTAAGAAAATAATATTCCTTTTTTCAGAGCGAACTTATTAGATATTTATTAAACCTGTCCATTATTATGATAAAATAGCCCAGACTAGACTAGACTAGACGTTATCAAAATTAAATTATTTTTTACATTAACAAAATGAGTATTATAATATGACAGACAAATATTTTATTTCTCTTTTAAATTAAATTATTTTTTACATTAACAAAATGAGTATTATAATATGACAGACAAATATTTTATTTCTCTTTTATGTCTATTATTAGTAAAGAACGTATTTTTATTAATGAAATTGCTGAAATGATTTTTGTTCTGACAAACTTAAAATGAATGTATGTGAACTTTATAAAATATCATCTTTACGGCACAGATATTTGTTTATAAAGTTATAATTCTGATTTAATTAATGAATACACTACTGTGACGGTTGATTTAGATAATTGTATTGTTGATCTGTATTAAATAAAAGGGATGTGTATAAACCTTAGGGTGATTGAAACTGTATTACTAAATGTATTATATTTACTGATAATAGGATACTACAATAATTATGTAAATGAAAGGAATTATAATCTAACCTCAGCCAAAACAAAATTTGACTTGAATTTTATCTTAAAGCCAAAGCCATACTTAATCAAAATTTACAATTAACCATTCTGTTAGTACCTTTTTATAATTGAAAATCGTAACCTTATCCTACCTTATGTATGTATATCTAAGCAACTTTAACTACGTATCACTTTAAAACTATTAACAGTAAATAAACAGGATGGAATACAAAATCGGAATTCAATCGAGAGGTCACAGTTGCAGTTACAAAAGACTTTAATCTAATTCTATTTCCGATACTCAATTTCGTTACTGACTGAATCGACTCGAGGGCACCAGAGGACTGAAGTGCTTTCACGCCAGCTAAGCTATTAATTTCACTTCACACTAACGGCCACCGTCCATTGTCATGCAGCTTTATAGTTGAATCATGTTAACCTTTTTATAAAGAGAGAAAGAAGCTTTCTTTTCTACATATTAATCCTAAGTATGAACAACATAAGTTGAGGAATTGGTTTAAAACAGTTTTGTGTCGGTAGGTAATCAAAGTGACAAAATATTTTTGTATTTTATAAATAGGAGGACGATATTATATACTCACTGGAGAACTTGTTTCTAGGTCTTGGCAGTGGGCAGATTTCGGCCAGTGAAGTTATATCACGGTTTTACAGATAATAAGCGTAAAAAAGCGCTTCCGTTCTCTTTCACGCTATAAAGTATAAATATGAAATAAGTCGTCGTAAGTAGTTAGGAATCTTAAAATGAAAAATAATAAATACTAACTTGCTATAAAGACTTGCTTTAAAGTTATAACTAGTACAGTTTCTATACATCAAAGTGATACATGCACTACACGAGTTCACAGGCGAGAGCTCTCTATAGTGATTGTAGAATTTTTAAACTGAAATTGAATTCATTGAGATACAATTGAGATTTTGCGGCCATTTGGAAGGAGAATCTAAGAGTGTTGCAATGATTAAAAAGTACATTCTTTATCTATAATTGTAAAACTTGGAAATAATTCACCTATTTAGAATTTTTTTATAACAAATAGACAAAAGTAGGACATACTCTTCCAAACGAATACATAAATAAATCTCACAAGAATACGCAGCGATTATTTATGCCTCTTTTTGCTTTTCGCTTCATTCAGCGTATCGCTTTGACGTTATTCATTGATGACGTAGCTGTCAGCGTGACGTCATACTTCCGCAACGAGTCTCGGCCAAAGAAAATATCGATATAGAAAAATTGCGTGCGAATACTTGTCGGGACCGGCGGCGACAGGAAGTTTCGATTGAACCAGCCGCTCTGGGCGAATATCGAGGGAACTTGTCAAAAGAAACTTACCGACAAGGCGTCGAAGTTTGAAATTTCATAAAGTCTGCAGTGTAAACGCTTCCGTCTGTGTTACGCATGTGTTTTAAGCGCACGATTATAATATACAACGCGTTATTACTTTGTTGACACGCCGCTCCTCTGCTTTTATGTTTCTGTTTTAGGAACGCGAAAAGTTTTGTGTAAGAATTCGTGACATATATCTTAAGAATTTTCGCTATTCCGCGATTGTAAGAATGCCGGTGCTGACTCACATATGAAACTTGTCTACACTTACTTTTTGACTGTTTTATGTATTGTTCAGCTTTTGTTCTGTATTTTATATAAGGTATATGAACTCCATTTGAACATTGACATAAGATACCCAAAAATGCACTTTAAGTATTACAATAAATTTAACTTTTATTTTGATTAAGTAGCACGTTTAAACAATTCATTAAAAAGTTAATATTGAACTCAACATGCAACAAATTGAACTCTAATAGAGTGTAGATAGAGACGCTTATAATACATACCTAAGTATCGCAAAAATAAAGATCTCAAGAAGACTCAATTGGCATTAGAAGTACCAAGTACTTACGTACTTCACTATAAACCCGTAGCGAAGTACCTGCCCTAAGGCCAAAGCTCTTAATTTACTACCAAAATTAGTAACAAATCCTTAACAATTATAAGTATAGTTTAGCTGTAATGAAAATCAATTTGGTTTTGAAGCATTTTCATCGGCACTCGGTAACAAATAGCGTAGCAACGGATCGGTACTTGAGACATCGAGTTTCTATTATACTCTGAGTAGGTACCTAAGCTAATGGATGTCGAACAAAATAATTATATCTACGGATTCCTTTTGTGTCCACTTCGAATAAAAGAAAGCCATAGCAATGTCGGTTTTTATTTAGTTGAGGTCATACATGTAAAATATTGTTATATCCAGCCGAGGTTGTCAGAGCAAGCGCATTATGTACCGCGGCCTAGGCCTGGAGAAAGAACGTGGTAGGTTTTAGTTTGCAAGTGTCTACCTCTCACAAGAGAAAGTAATTTTCCCCCTCAAAAAGAAAATCATAGGTACAAGTTAATTAATGTTGCAGATCTAGCTTAATACAGCCAGTGTGGGAGAGCCAAGCTTCGGCACGAATGGGTCGGCTCGACCGGAGTGATACCACGGTCTCACAGCATACCGGCGTGAAACAACCCACAGCGTTTTGTTTCGCCGTGTGAGTGAGGTTACCGGAGGCCCAATCCCTCCCCTTCCCCTATCCCTTCCCAATCCTTATATCCGCAACCCCCATCCCCAAAAGGCCTGCAACGCACTCGTAACTCCTTTGGTGTTGCGGGTGTCCATGGGCGGCGCCGATTGCTTACCATCAGGTAATCCATCTGCTCGTTTGCCAACTTATACCATAAAAAAACAACAACCATTTCTAGAGCGGGCTTGTCTAAAAATGAGTGGAATCTGAGACTCTTAACTCTGAGAGTCTTAAAACCACCGTTCCTTACATTGTTTAAAATATTACTACATGTATTAAATCCTGCGGTCCTCGCCCTCATTGGCGTAGTAAAAAGTTTCCATCGAAATAACGATTACGAGCTGCAAGCTCGGGATATACCTAGTGTAGCTAATTTTGCCGAATTTTACACTGTTCAACCTCTTACACAGCTGATATTAAAACGCTGAGGTATCAAGCATATGATAAAAAAATCTATCTTTGCATTTGAATAATGTATTAAATATTTTAGTGTGACAAAATGTCAATGGTATGCATTAATATTTCTATTCTATTCTATTCGACAAGCGCTTATGCAATTCGTCTAGCGGGGCGAGTTCGAATTCAAATGTTCCAGTCTACGACACGGCTCGTTCCTCACTCGCAACGTTCCCGATGGGCAAACTTTTTTATAACTAGACATAGTTACGGAACCAGTTAAAAGTTAGCTACAGAATCCACACAGTCATCGCTTGTTAGCATCGCTAACTTTAAACGAACATAGGATTAGTTAAAAGGTCCTGGATTAAAAACGGATGAGGTTTATATAATGACTTCATTTTATGCCAAAAACGACTGAACTGGCTTAAATCTTTTTGAGTTTAATGAATCTAGAAATGAGCTAAGTTAACGACAGTAATTTCAAAATTTTACTAAATTACTTTTATACTTCCAACAATAAAAGTTGATTTCATTGTCTGTCTCAAACGCGATGGATACGAAGCGATTATCATTATCGGGTTTTAGAATTTTGATAAAGAGTACCTAATGAAGGTTAAAGTGCTTAAAGCACCGGGAATGACTATAAACTTAACATAATCCATAAATCCATAGGAAAGCAAAAAAAACGCAAAGAAATTTCTGCTTCAACCGAACAAT